GGGGGTAAAGGGCTGCCGGCGGGTAAGGCTCACAATCTTACCGCAATCTGTGAGCTGATTATCTAAAGGAAATGTGGGAGGCTCGACGACTCACAACTCTATGGGCCTTCACGGCATATTACAGGGATAGCTTGACCTTTACCTTATAGAAACAGGTTGTTCATGTTTGAACTGGACTGAATTATTGTAAGCTGAGCTGTCACACATGGCGGTATAATATTTTACATCTGCAAATACAGTAATGTTGATCAAGGCAGCTGAAGAATAATAGGGTTTCATCTGTTTCATTGTAAAATAAATAATGTATTGGGAAAAATGAACCTATTCTTTATTTTGCTGCCCTAACCGTTGTTACAAACCAAATCACCGAAGTACTCGACAGCGTTCTGCAGTATTTAGCCAAATACTGCTTAGTTCTTAACCTAAAGCACGTTATGCTACCAAACAAGTCCCCACCCCCCCATCTTTCCGCCATTCGTTTTTATTTCACTCTCTGTTCTCATTTTTCTGTCTCATCCGCCTCGAATTGTGTTTCCTATCCAAATGATAAATAGCAGCACGCATTTCTTTACTTCTGGGTAAATTTATCATCTACGTCCCTTCTTTTGTTGGAGTCATATTGTTATATACGTGGGATCCTAACAATGTTATCCCCCTCACCAGTCTTTGAATCTGCCCCCAGTCTTCTCCTTCGAAATTCAAACTTTCCTACTCATTTTTCATCATGAGGAACGTTAGAAACATGCCTTCTATTAAAAAATCATGATAAAGAAAAGTAAGGAAACTAGGTTAAGCACAAATTGTTCTGGGAGGATTTTTTATTCGTTAGAGAATACAGTCAGGTTGTTGTGGCAAGACTGTAACTTTCATGACACACTCACGGATCGATTGATTGTTCAGATGAATCACAAAGACTTGCCGCTGCATTGCTCGTCTGGCTCTTAAATGAATGTGAATAATTGATATCACTGTCACAAAACAATCGTCTACATTTATAGAAAATCAGGTAGAGTGTATCCAACTTGTTCACGAGAGTCATATACAGCCGCAAATAAACAAACGATAAATAAAGCTTTATTATTATTATTATTAATTTCATATTCAGTACAGAAATTAATCGCAGAAAAAATTATCTGTGTGGTGTCGGGTGCCTCTTTAAAAGTTGACAGCTAGTCACAAAATTTTCAACTTCTGTCTTCCTTGTTTGACGAAGATGATAGCTGCCTAGTCTGCAGCAAGAACCGACTTGCCCCCGTTAAGAGGGTCACCCTCCCTCGACTCGAACTTTTGGCAGCATTGGTGGGAGTAAGGTTGTTGCAATATTATTGTCGCGAGACACGCATCGACATAACCAAGGAAATCTTATGAACTGACTCGACACTAACCTTGGTTTGAGTTCCGCAAGACCCGAATATATGAAGACCTTCGTATGCAACCGGGTAACCGAAATACAGATGTATACGACCCCATCACAACGGAGACACTGGCCAGGGAAAGATAATCCAGCTCACATTCTTTGAAGAGTGGTTACTGCAGACCAGTTGGAGACATTGGAGATATGGTGGAATGGACCTTCTTGGCTTGTACAACTTCCGAAGTACTGGCCCGAGGAAACACACACGTTCGACATCTCACTACCCCAGACGAAAAAATCGACCCACTACGTCCTTTCTGTTGAAATCCCGCCGACCCTGCTGGACCCTACAAAATACATTTCCTATTGGAAACTACTCGTCACCGCCTGGATTTTCCGCTTAAGGCAAATCGTCCTCCGAAGAGAAGAACCTTACCGTGAATTGGTGGCTTTGGAGCTCCAGGCAGCGCGGTTTTATTAGATACAAGTCGTTTAAATAGAATGCTTCCCTGGGGAAAGCACTTCACGAGAACCTGCATGTGCCAGACGGCTCTAAGATAGCACGATTTAACCCCCTTTTGGACGAAGAATTTATTCGCCTTGGTGTCGACTACAGTTAGTAGAACTCTCCAGGGAACAACGACACCCGCTACTCCTCAACGGTCCACACCAATTCACAGAACTGCTTGCCCAGCAGATACACATTCTTCTTCATTTGGGAGTTCGCATCGTCCTGACGGAACTGGATACTCCGCGCCCTCCAGACAATTAAAAGGGCACTGAATACATGT